GGTACACCAGCTAGCACTATAATGAAATATTGTTAATAGTAAGTCTAAAATATGAAAATGTGTCAAAATATTTGAATCACTATGATATTACAGTTAAAGAAAAAAATGGACATGATGTTATGTATAGTGGTATTACCTGATGAGTTGGATAGCATTGGACCATCATTCCAAAGTAATTGGAAAATGCATTGTTAAAATTTTATTTTGCTTTTGGTCTGCCAGAACGTATTTTAGCTTCTAATGTAAAATGTAACATCTTTGCCCAAATGCTACATAAAATGACTGTGTAAAAATCCCAAAGAACATTTTAACCAAACTTTACAATCTGTGTTAGGCACATAGACTGGTCACTGATATGAGTATGCGTATGTACAGTACTGTATGTTTACTGTAATTCATTACAAGAGTCTCTTAGGTTCTGTCTGGTGGGATGAGTGATTGTATAAAATGCTAAAGGGCCAATAAAGGCATTTAATTGTAGAGACGTTGTAGAAAAGTTTTTTTTAATTATCCACAAGATGGCAGTGTGTGAAAGTAACAGCTACTAAAAAGTGGCAGCATCCCAAAGTGCACACATCTACACTTGTGCTAACCAAAGTGCCCTTCTATTCTATATTAAGACAAATTGTCACGATATTTATGTGTTTTATTATAAAGGGTCATGATGTCATAATTTATAAAAAAGAAAGGTTTATAAATAAACTAAACATAACACTATACACAGAAATGCTTTTATTTTAAGTTTTGTTTTGTGCCAACCACTGACGTGTCCTTTTGACAGTATTTTGACTGTCACTGGACTACATGTTAGTGTGGCACTCAGTTTATGTCATTGTCTCTTTTTGTTTGCTAATTATGAATGAAAAAGGATGCACCTTTATTTGTTTCTGCTTTGAAAATACGTAATAAAGTGCAATACTGTATGTACACTGTATATATTCTGTTTTTCAATAAAATGGGTCTTTGCACCTATGTTTTTTACTCATCTTTCCAAGCGTGTTACACACAAAGAGATGTAAAAATAAGTCTGTTTTGTACTGTGCAATTGGTTTCTGAAGCTGTGGTTTTATCAGAGCACTTGGTACCTATAATAACCTGTACAAACGTAAAAGGTACAAAGCCCTTGTCTTGCTAATGTTAACTGGTCAGAAGCCAACATTAGGCCAACGTAGGCCCAACATCTAACATTGGTTGGCACCCAACGTCAGGCCAACGTTGTCCCAAACTCAAATATTGGTTGACACTCAATGTCAGGCCAACGTCAGGCCAACGTAGTCCCAACATAAAATATTGGTTGGCACCCAACGTCAGGCCAACGTAGGCCCACTGGCCAAAATGACGTTGGACCAACGTGATTGCCCAACGTCATGCCAACGTAAACAATGACGTTGAGCCAACGTATGCTTGCTATCTGGGGTGTTGCTTACAAAATAAATTTTGAGTAATGAAAACTGGTTTAGTTTAAATAGAAAAGAACATTTTTGTTAGTTTACTTACTGAAACCCAGAAAAAAAACACAAAAATACAAAAAGAAATCCACATCGATAAAATAAACAATTCTTCAGGCATTCTCTGCCTAGCAACAGTAAAAGTCTGCATAGCAACTATCTCTGATTGTGATAAAACAGTGGTAGTTGTTTAAGGAAGTTTTAATTAAAATATTGTTAAGCAAAAATATGTGTTAATATAAAATTGCAATTAATTAATCTTTAATTCAATGCATTTTAATTTATTGAATTTGATATTGTGTGTCAGACACATTAATTACAAATGACTTGTGTTGTGCATGTGCAGTGCTGGCAAGTAGGACATATCAATGGGTAGAAGTCAACAAATCACTGGCTTAAAGCTGTAGATAGTGCTAAGTAAATCTGCTGCATTTTGATTAATCAGTATTCATCATTTAAGATATCTAAGAACACATTTTTACTAGTCCGAATGATCATTCACGATATTTAAAAAATACAAGTCATAGCTTCAATTTTCAGGCATTTAAAAAAAAAAAGTAAATTTACAAAATCCGGGCCACATGTCTCATTTAGATGATGGCTAATTTCATTGTCATAAACATACATTTTATTTCATTATTGAATTGCAAATATCTTGATTTGGACCTTCCATACAAAAAAAATAACTAGTTATGCAGTGAACTCCAGCACACTGTTCAGTTCTGTTTTATTTTATTATTCTTATCACATTGAGTGTATAAATAGTAAACAATGAATAGTAAAACCTATGTCCATGTCTTAATTAATTTCTTACTCCCTGTAATGGAAAGTCTTTTTAGTTCAAATATACTGCTTTAGAAAATAATAAGAGACCACTTCAGTTTCTGTGATTTTGCTATTTATAGGTATATGTTTGAGTAAAATGAACAGTGTTGTTTTATTTTATAAATTACGGACATTTTTCATTTAGAGAATTTATTGACAAAAAGATGCAGAGCTTTCAGACCTCAAATAGTGCAAAGAAAACAAGTTCATATTCATAAGGTTTTAAGAGTTCAGAAATCAATATTTGGTGGAATAACCCTGGTTTTTAATTACACTTTTCATGCATCTTAGCATGTTCTCCTCCACCAGTCTTACACACTGCTTTTGGATGATAACTTTATGCCACTTATGGTGCACAAATTCAAGCAGTTCAGTTTGGTTTGATGGCTTGTGATCATCCATCTTTCTCTTGATTATATTTCAGTTTTTAAATTTGGTAAAATCAAAGAAACTCTTAATTTTTAAGTGGCCTTGTTTTTTCTAGAGCTGTAGGTTGCACAACTCCTTAGTTAACATTCTGCATGTGGGAATCCGGCACTGGAAGCAACATAAGCAGCTTCATCTTCAAAACATTTTTTTGATTTACGTTAAATCAAACTGATTTTCCTATTTAATTAAACTCATGACTTTATGTCTCATCTGTCTTTTGACTCTTTTTCTAAAATTGAGGCAGGGCGGACAACCATTACATAAAATATAACACAATACATAAGAGGAGGTAGCCTGTGGGGCACAACTGCAAACACACACCCAATTATCGCAGGAGGCAATGCAAACTTGAGTTTTACTCAAAAAGTTTGTATTTTACAAAAACAACCCTGTGTTTCACTCTAAACATTAGTGCAACTGATCGGACAGAGTGGGAGAAGAGTATAAGAAGAAAGCAGAATGTATTTAGCAGCAGTTTTCTCAGTTCATATTTGTATAACCTCCTTCGTGAAAGGACTGGAGAACAGATTGCAAAATTAATTCAGTGGAAAAGCATGAATTCCAGCTGTTGCTGAAAATATCTCTATAATATTCATGCATTTACACAGAATTAAATTTGCAATCTGTTCTCCTATCTATTCTCCTACCTATTTATTTGTGCTAGTCAGTCGTCTTATCGTATCTTAATATCAAGATGGCGGCACCTGAAGAACTACCTGAAGGCACTGTGTGTATAAACAGTGTTTTAATAAACTATCTGTGCACTTTTAAAGTTCTCAGTGCCTCGTTTTAAATGTCAGAGCTCTCTGAATTCTACCAGTGAAGTAGGGATCTACATTGAGTTTGTTAATGCTGTAAAAATCAGGATTTCTTTACATGGGCAACACTATGCCCCCATCACTAGCATTATAAGCATGTTGGTAGCATCAGCTAAAAGCACGTTTTTTTTTTTTTGGAATCCAGAAGCTGTAGATCGGGGGTGGGCTATTCTACAAAAATCATAATCGTTATCATGTTTTACTAAACCTCACTTTTATTTTACATCGGACTTCTCCTTTAAGAAAGGGCTATTAACAGAAATAGAGGACAAGCTCAGGCCTGGAAGACTAACACAGAAAACCTTCAGAGAGAATGGATACATAGGATTATATTTAATATATAAAGCTATTAAATATAGGAATCATAACTGAAATGGTGTGTTTACCTCTGAGGGATAATGAGAGGTTGGTGAATAGTCGTGAAAAATAAATCACAATATAAATGTTTGATATGTGCCTTTTTTAATGATTAGTTACGCTTTATATCAGATACATAATTCCTGATACAACTTAAACATGCAGTTATTTTACGCTTCAAGAAATAACTCACAACACAGATCAAACGTCTTAATAATAAGTTTCTGTTTATTCAGGTTGGTACAAAACACAGCCTTTTATATTCCGATACAGATACGCATACATACATATAAATATATATTATTAATATATATCACATTCTAACAAAGTAAAAAACTAATAAATGAATAATAAGGAAGCTGGTTCCATTACAACCAATACATTTGAAATGTGCATTAAAACATGTACAAATCTAACATAAAAATAAATTTACAGTGATATTTAAACTCACTCAGCACTTTATCAGAAGCAACGTCATTTAGAAGGTGGTGCAGTTGTGTAAAGAAAGCTCTCTTTAACTGGCTTTAAGCGGATACTACCAATAAATCAGATATTAAAGGCCAGTCATCATCCAGTCATGGGAGAATGGGAGATTCACAGCATAAAAGTGCTCAAGAAAAATATATTTTTTTGGAGCCCAAATCCTTAGGAGCACTCCTATTGGTGATTCCACCTTATTGGTACAAATTATAATCAATATAACAGGTGATAATAACAGTAGTTGATTATAAAAATAAACAAAACAACATGAACTGAAGTGCAGCTGAGTGTAGAGAATTGCATACGTAGATTTGATGATAAAATTATTAAGAAGATAACTCAGAGAAAAATGAATCTAAACTACCAATATGTGTAATAAAAGCTCTTATATAAACACACACACAAACACACTATGTACTATACAACTGCTTAACGCAGGTAAGCTTGTTAGCAGCGTTACTGCTGAACAGAAACAAGTTATTAACAGTTCAAACCTAGTTTAAATCACTTAAATATTATATTTAAGCAGCACCTTTAATATTTTCCTGATGCAAATGGATTTCTATACTTACTGCTATATACAGTAGCCTGAATTAAAGCAATAAAATGCACATCTAATCACAACTCTTTAATCAGATTCAGCTTATTTGTTTGCCTCCTTCTGCTGTTTAAGTTTGCGTATGATCACTCTCTCTACCTCTGATTTTGAAGTTTTCAGTTCATTTAAGGTGTTCTGTAGTTGTTGATTCGTTTCTCTCAGCTTATAAATGAACTTTCCTGCTTTTGACTCCAGTTCCGCCTCCCGTACTGAGGATTGTGCCTTCAGTTTATCAAAATCTCTGAGTGTTCTGCTATCCTCAAAGACAAAGATAAAACCAATCATAGTAAGCAGAGCTGTAATAAATGATCCTGCAAATATCTGTATATCTACTGTTTGTGTTCCTTGATCTAACAGTCTCCGAAGATCCCCTGGTGAAAACAGTTTAGCTAGCTCTGACAGATCTTCAACACTCTTTCTGAAATGTTCTATTCCACATTTAACTGAGCCAGACTGTTCATCATTCTGATACTGCCAGATCTTCTCAACATCATTACAGACGTTCTTCAGGCGGTTGGTGACTCTATCAGTTGTTGTGTTGAATTTCTTCAGAGCGATCTCCACCTCATCCACAGCTTTTTTCTGTTCAATTTCTTTGTCAGAGTTACTTTTAAAACTTGTTGCTCCACCACCAACAGCAGCACTCACACTCGCTGCCCCCAGAACCAAGGAAAGACCACCAGTGAAAGGAGCCAATAAAAGTGCAGCTCCAGCTCCAACAGCTCCTGCTGCTCCGACTAGTCCCCCTGTTCTACTCGCACGAGTTGCTGTTCCATATTTATCTAAAAATACATCAGAGCTCTTTTCCAGATCTTTGATGACCTGCTGGAGTTCAGGCTGATGTTCTTCATACAGTCTTATAAACTCTTCACTGTTTTTCAGAAGATCATCAGAAAGTGCTCTATAATCAACACACATAAAATATACATGTAAGATGATTATACAGTATTTAAAACAGTGAGTACACTCTGCAACTTTCATTTCTGCAAATATTTAATTACATCTTTTATTGGGACAACACCTGGATATATTTTAGTCACTCTACAGCTTTTATAGCAATACAGATTTAAACATAACTCAAGACACAACACAAATGAGTTCACCTCAGAGTAAACATGTTCAAATTGTTCCCAAAGTGTCAATATTCTGTGTGACCCCAATTATTATCAAGCACTGCCTTAACAATCTTAGGCATGAAATTGACCAGCGCTATAGTTCTGTCCCATTTATAAATATAATAAAATATTTGAGGAAATGTGAGGGGTGCATTTTTTTTCATTGTTGGATACTGTAAATTAAAACTGATTTATATCAGGCTGTTTCAGTGGATAGAAGCGTTACACTTACGTCTCCTCAGAAGACAAATTTGGGCGGTCTCCACTCATGCTGTCATCACTGTCAGAACTGTCCTCCGTCACTCTCTGGGCTCCTTCTGTTGCCATGATTCTGTGTGGATGTACAATCTTCAGAATTAAAGCCTTAATTTTAAATACAAACCGAGGGAGAAGGAGATTTTAGCATGTTTGTCAGTATTACATGTTTTAGATCATCAAAGAAATTTAAAAATTAGTACAAAAATAAAAACAAGTTAATACAAAACAGTTTTATTTGAAGGTTTTATTATTAAGGGAGACAAAAAATCCAAACCTATTCAAAGAAATTCAGTCTGAAAAAGGTTATAAAGCCATTTCTAAACAGGTGAACGTTCCCAGAAATGTCTGGCCAACCAAAATTACCCCAAGAACGCATCGACGACTCTTCCAAGAGGTCACAAAAGACCCCACAACAACATCCAAAAAACTACAGGTCTTACTTGCCTCAGTTAATATCAGTGTTCATGCCTCCACCATTAGAAAGAGACTGGGCAAAAGTGGCCTGCATAGCAGAGTGGCAAAATGAAAACTCCTGCTGAGCAAAAAAGAACATTAAGGCTCATCTCAGTTTTGCCAGAAAACATCTTGATGATCCCCAAGACTTTTGCACTGACGCAACAAAAGTTGAACTTTTTGGAATGTGTGTCCCATTACATCTGTTGTAAAAGTAACACCACATTTCAGAAAAATATCTCTGAAATAACCTACAGTAAAACATGGTGGTGGTAATGTGATGGTCTGGGGCTGTTTTGCTGCTTCAGGAACTGGAAGACTTGCTGTGATAAATGGAACCATTAAATCCACTGTCTACCAAAAAATCCTGAGAAGGAATTTCTGGCCATCTGTTTGTGACCTCAAGCTGAAATGAACTTGGGTTCTGCAGTAGGACAATGATATAAAACACATCAGCAAGTCCATCTCTCATTGGCTGAGAAAAATAAAGTGAAGACTTTGGAGTGACCCAGTTTTTTATTTGATCCAGTCTTTATTGTATTTTTAATTTTATATATTAAGTTCTTCTTAAAAAGAGAGATCTGCGCACTTTCAATTCAAGCATGTCTCCCACAGGCAACCATATGTCAGCCATGAACAGGCATATTACAGGAACAGTCCAAAGTTAATAGACTTACTGTCAGGGACCAACAGGGATGATACATGCAGGGATGAGATTTTTTTAAGTTAGATTATATAATATGGGTATCAGAGTCCACTTTTCCAATAATCACCCCAACACTGGCTATAATTGCATCTAATAAGCTTCCAAGCAAATTACTGAACTTAATTCTGGTTCCCCGAAAAGTGTCAAAGAACTATCAGGAACCCTGTGTAGAGGAGAAGCACAGGCTTTTTGGTTAATAAATATAGCATACATTTTGTATTAACGTGCACATATTTAACATGTTAAGATTTGAATGTACGTTTTGAATGTATTTATTTACACACATGGACAAAATTATCCACAAAAATTTTCGCCAGCTCCTCGAGAGCAAACTACTCCAACTGTCTCAGGTTTGAAGGTCTTCTACAGACTGCATGTTTCAGCTTCTTCCCTAGATGTTCAGTAGGATTTAAATTAAGGTTTATAGAACTTAATTTAAGAACAGTCCCTGCGACAAAGCTTTCTGACAATGGGCAACACATGATAGTCTTAAGATTTAACTGTACCCTGCACAGATTCAAGGCACCCTGTGCCAGATGCAGCAAAGCAATACCTTTATTACTGCACTTTACCTGTCAGACCTATTCACTGCTGAAACTAAGACTTGCTAACATGAGTCCAATGTTAAGCTAAGCTAAGGTATTGCCAAGAGGTCAGCCAGACTTCTTCCTGTACCAGCTTTTAAGAGTCTTTTCAAGGTGTACTCATCACTCTCTGGCTTCATCTGAAATTTCTCTAAAGAAAATACTTTTTATAGTTATGCAGCAAGTCCACCTCTAAATGGTAAAAAAAAAGAAAGTTAAAGTCTGTTTGAGATGCTGTGGCATGATCTTAAAATGGCATTTCATGCTGGAAACCCATTCAATGTGAATTACAATTACAAGTCTGTGAAGAAGATTGGACCAGCTTTACTCCACAGCGCTGTGAAAGACTCATTGCAAGTTAGAGCAAATGCTTGATTGCAGTTGTTGCTGCTAAGAGTGTCCCAACCAGTTATTAGGTTTAAAGTCCAAACACATTTTCACACAAGGTCAGGTTGATTTGGATAGAGTTTTCCCCGGGTGTTTACTGATCTGGAAAAACTGCTTTTAATGATAGAGTAGCAGTAAGGTACAAAGATACAAAATACTCTGAAACTTGCTCAATTCTCCTAGGGTTTTTACATTTTTTTTCTATTTTGTTTCTATTTATAATTGTTTTTAATTTCATATGTTATATTTTTCTTAACTTTTTAATTGTTTTATTATATGTATTTGTATATATTTTAACTCATACATTTTACTGCTTTTTTATTGTTAAATTGTTTTCATATTACTTTTTATTGGTGCTGATCATTTTAGAATATTTCTCTTAACAATCTTAAGTTGCTATATGTTGTTCTTTTTTACTTTCCTGTATCTCTTGGCTACCCTTAATGCAATAAAACACTATTTTAATCTTTTTGTCTGATAAAAAACGTGTTTGTTAATCTGAAAAATGTACGTATAATAATAAAAAAAAACAATAGAAATCCACAGGGGGCAAATGTTTTTTCACAACACTTTGTATGTGATAATAATACATATCCCTTTATAGGTAAAATTTATGTAAACCTTACTCTTGGTAAAGAGACATATACAGTGGTATGAAAAAGTTTGGGCACCCCTGATACTTTTCATGATTTTCCTTTATAAATCATTGGTTGTTCGGATCAGGAATTTCCGTTAAATGTAGCAGATGAACTCAGTGATATTTGAAGTTTATACGATTTACAGAAAGTGTGCAATAATTAAACAAAGTTAGGCAGGTGCATACATTTGGGGACCCTACCTATAAAATTACATAAATATTTAGCAGATCCTTCTTTTGCAGAACTGACAGCATGTAAACGCTTTCTATAGCTTCCAATGAGAGTCTGACTTCTGGTTGAAAATATTTTGGATCATTCTTCTTTACAAATCATCTCCAGTTCAGTCAGGTTTGATGGTTTCTGAACATAAACAGCCTGTTTTAAATCACACCACAGATTTATAATAATATTCAGGTCTGGGGACTGAGAGGATTATTCCAGGATGTTGTTCTTGTTCCTCTGCATGAATGCTTTAGTAGATTTACAGCAGTGTTTAGTATTTAGGGTCGTTGTCTTGTTGAAGTATCCAGCCCAGAGGAAACTTCAACTTTCTCACTGATTCTTGAACACTGTTCTCAAGAATCTGCTGATATTGAATGGAATCCATGTGACCCTCAAATTTAACAAGATTCCCAGTACCTGCACTGATCACACAGCCCCACAGCATGATGAACCACCACCACATTTTACTGTATGGAGCAAGTGTTCTTTTTCCTCCATGCATAACGCCCTCAAAATAACTAAATTTTAGATTAATCAGTCCAAAACACATTATTCCGAAAAGAAGCTGGCTTGTCCAAATGTGCTTTAGCATACCTCAAGTGACTCTGTTTGTTGCGTGTGCAGAGAAAAGGCTTCTTCTGCATTATTCTCCTATACAGCCTCTCCTTCTGCAAAGTGCACTGAATAGCTGAATGATGCACAGTGACTCCATCTGCAGCAAGATGATGTTGTAGGTGTTTGGAGCTGGTCTGTGGGTTGACTATGACTGCTCTCAACAATCCTTCACCTCTGCTTATCTGAGATTTTTGCTGATCCTGTCAGGGTGGTGCAGGCAGGAAGACATGGAGGCAGATGCATACGCAGGTAAAGAGGAATATTTATTACATAAATTACAAAGAAACAAATAAACGAATAAACAAATAGCCAAAACAAATGAGTGAAGCAAGAAAACATAAACCTAAACAAACAAGAGATACTAATAACAAACAAACATGGAGGCTAATGGAAGAAAACAAACTAATAACTAAAACTAGATAAACAAAACAAAACAAGGAAATGAACGAGGGACTAGAAAATAACAAAGGATAAACGAGAAATAAACAAGATAAACACAGAACAAGGAACTAGGGCTATGAAGTGCAAGGAAGCGCTGAGAGAGAAAAAACAACAGGGGTTAGTGCAAAGACTGACAAGGACAAAGTGACACAGGAGGACTATATATACAAACAAGAAACACACTAAACACGAACACCTGGGGTAAGGGGTGTGGAAATTACACAGAGACATGAGAACAGACAAGAAACAAGGCAAGGACGTGACACATTCGAAGAACCAACGATTTATAAAGGAAAATCATGAAAATTGTCAGGGGTGCCCAAACTTTTCATACCACTGTGTCATATATTGAATTTCTGTTTTTTTTTTCTGGTAATTGCTCAGCTTACTTTGTTATGAATAAATCGTATGAAACTTAACAGCTATGCTTAAACAGGCTTTAGAACTTTGATGTGCAACATGGGTCAAAAATGAAATTAATCCAATCATTCAGAACTTAAGGCAATCCTCAATTAACTTGTTTTTGATTTATCATACACCTTATTTTATTTTTAACTTTCTTACTTTTTTAATGAAAGTTATGTTTTTATCACTACCCCTCTAGTGCACAACATGGGATTTCTATGCTAATTAATGTATGGCTGTGTTTTTCTTTGACACAAATCTTTATTTTTATTCTCCGTTTTTACTTTATGAAAAGCTTTTGTATCTCTACATCAAGTTTACACACACATTTACCATTACCATTTCACAGCTCAACTATAGCTCATTACAGCTCCCATCACACTAGCTCAGTGTTGCTTTCAATTGTATTATCACAACTTTAGAACATATCTGATGAATGTTAACACTTATTTAGTATTTGCAACATATTTCATATTTATCCTTTTGTCACACACACACACACACTAGATAACCTCAAAATTGATATTCTTTTTCCTTTAAAGCATTTTATTTTGTATTTGTTTTGCTATTTTCTGTGACAATCTATGTATAAAACTCAGAATCTTAGTTATTTACTGT